CAATATTTAATCAAATTGAAATTTTAAAAATTTAAACTTAGCGATTTACGCATGTAAATAAACTAGTACTAATTTAATTATGTAAAATCTGCTAAGTTTAAATTTTTAAAATTTCAATTCAATTAAATATTTATCATTGCGACAAGCTTTTATAATCAAATAAATTGTGTATAATGAGGTTATAAGTTAATAGTTGAAATTTTATTTTCTTCTCTTTGAAGCGTTCAAATAAAATCTTTTTTTAAGTTGCACAGAGCGCAGTTGCCGAATCACAGCTATTTAGTGAATGTTTGATAACGTAGCACATGATTAGGTCTCGCCGATAATAGGTGCTCATAAAATTCCATGAAATATACTATTTTTCCATTCTCGACCTTAGTGATTACTACTTGGGAAAGTTTGAATGATAGTACTCGTACGACAATTCAACTATTGTTTGCGACATGGCAACGTGTCGGCCGAGTTTGACCGAGTTTTGGCGAGGTTGTCGTAGCAATTTTGACGTCATCAAGATTAATATAGAATGACGCATGACACGTTCTGTTCGAATCAGGCGTAATTTTTAATATCTGAACACATTTGAATGGTATGAAAAATCTTTAGAGGTGTTTTGTGATTGCTGAATGTGAAAAATGCAATACCTGTTCAGTAGCCTATTGGGTAATTCTGAGGGTAATTCAAATATACTTGTCATTTCTTTATTATTTGTCTTTGTCATTAATTAATTCCTATTACCTTCCTTGCGACTTTCATAGGCATGGTGGTGTGTGCAACTTAAATATTCTTGAAAAAGGTGCCACATAATCTTTTCATTATTCTTATTTATGTTAACATCAACTATGATTAGCATATTACACTGATTATGACAGTAATTAAAGAGATAGGTAACATAAAAACCCGAAAGCTCATTTGTAGGTACGTCTATAGTGATACATAGATGTATGTGTAAGATGGTTATCAAATGTAAACCACAAAATAGTAATCAGAATAAGGGCATATTTTGAATTTCACTGTTTAATTATCACTTCCGTATATTTCAGTTATCAGTATGTATGTATGTATGTATGTATGTATGATGTATGTATGTATGTATAGGATAGGTCGAGAGATAGGTATTCATTATTATTGAGCCCATGTCCCACGTTCGAGCCCACGTTCTAAGATAATCTATGTTGTAGGTACAGGAATATAAAATACAACAATTATCTATTTCCAAATTATGATTAGTTATACCTACCTATGTTAATATTTCTTGTATTCGAAGTACTCACCTCTAAAAACCACACAAATTCAAATTATTTCACAATTACTTCATTCAAAATGGGCCTGTATTCACTACAGTTTTGGCATTAGCGTTTGATTAATTGATGTTGAACAGTGTTGTATTGACATGTACTTGCTTACCTTACACTTATTTTTAAATTTCAGAATATCACGAATGTGGAGCCAAAATGTAACATAAGCGTTATGGATTAAACTTTTATGTTTATTGTTAACCTAGAATTTGAGGCTTTAAAGGAAATAGAGAATTTTCGCGTCTTGTTAATAACTTCAAAATCTTTTCAAAAATTCCAACATTGTTCTCAATTACCAATTAGACCTCAAAAATATCATTAATATTTTCTCGAAACCCCTCAAACTCGATGTTTTATTATACTTAGGATACAATAATTGAATGTTGATTATCGCTCATACTGTTAACCTGGTCAATGACGGTTAAATATATCGAGCTCACCAGATAATTAGCCGTCATTGACCTTTATATAGGAAATTAATAACAATTACCCTCGCAATTACCTATAATAATTGCGTTCCTAGGGCATATATGTCTATGTATGCTAATCATAATGTATGCCAGTCATTTTCTTAAAGCACTCATGAACCTTCGTTAGTAAATGTAGAACATTGAGGATACGATTGTATATTGTCATAAATAATAAATTGTGATCAGGACGAGTGGTGTTGCTGTACGGCAACACAATTGAGTTAACAATGAAAGACAGAATTGAAGGGGCAAGTGGAAGAAGGGGCCAAGTAACATTTTATGAAAATATTCGGTTATGTGATGGAAGAACGTGTTACGTGCATATGTAACACGTGCTGTCAGAATTTGTTTCTATTCCTCATATCTGAGCAGATACATGTCGGCAACTGGAATAAGGGGTTATGTATGTACGCAAAATCCAGATGTCTATCAAAAAATGGTATAATAGCAAAATGCTGTAAATCATAAAAAATCAACCTGAAACTATTCGTCACAATTGCATAAATTCAATTATTAAACTAGCTTCCGTTAAAAAATGCAAGCTAACTTTACTAAAACTCCTTTTTCTCACAAACTCATATTTGTAACATATCTTCTTTCACTTGCCCCTTCAATTATGAGAAGATATTCAGCACAGAGTTGTATTTTGCTAGACCATTTCGGGTTCACGAATCATAAAAAGCATTTATTGTCAATGAGTGATTCATTCTTCTATCTGACAAGTACAGCCATAATTATTTTATGCCAAACTGACAGACTTTTCTTCACTATCCAAGGTTACATCCAGATTTTGATTTGCTATTCATGGTTACATCGTTGAAAATATAAACGCTGTCAGACCGAATTGGGAAACTGCTGATGTTTTCGCGATAAGCATACGTTGTCTCTGGCTTGTGATTGGTCAGATTATGTGATGAGTGAAATAGTCAACTATAGTGCACTGATAATGATGTCACTTCACCTAAACACAAGCAGACAGTTAGCCATCAATTTGTTGATACAAAATTGAATTGCAAGATCTTTCTATATGTAAATATTATTGGTATAGCCGCAGAAAAAGTTTAGCGTATGAAACTCTCACGAAATGTTCATTTCCTATTCGTATGAATGTTTGCAGCACTCGCCAAGAAATACCAGTCCATGCTTGTTCTTTCAACTCTGAGAGAAGAATCCTATGATAAAAGTGGCACATAGGTACCTGCTGTTTGTTACTAATCTTCCTATTTTTGAGTTGTGTTTCCTTTTTATCATCAGTGTTGTTGTCTGAAAATTGTTGGACCAAATAGAGCCGGTGACCACTCTATAATCACCATGTCAACTATGTCAATCTCGATGTCAATGGTAGGTAATCTGGAATACTTTTAAGCAATTGGCACTGGTAAGATTGGAGGTCATATCAGCTGTCATCAGTGTCATTCATTTATTCGTAGTAACGAAATTTGTTTATGAATGTTCATTGATTAAAATGGGCTAGTGGGCTTTTTATTTATTTTTCAATTATAATCATCACTCAATTACCTTTCAATGCCCTATTTTTTCTTTAGATTTTTCCGGTCGATTTGTAGGTGCTACAATCATCGATATTGTCACGGTAATGTTAGTTAAAACGGCTAGAAATTTTCCGCAAATAAAAACTGACGTTACGATTTCGTAAGTAGGTAGTAAGCGACCATAGCACAGTTGCAATATGTTGAAACACGATAGGGAACCTCAGAAATATTATTCATTTAATGATTCATAAATTCTCATTTACGTATTAGTAATATCCTTAATAAGCTATAAAAAATCCGTTGACTCCAAATTGTCCCATTTATTTGTTGTGTCTTATTGCTCATGATAATTTGTGTTAGGTAATAATTATTATATTAGGAGTGAAGATTTTTAATCATTAATTGATTAAAAATGCATTCCATTCCTCTCTTTTTGGTGCTAACTTCTTTGGTTCTTTTCTTTAGAATTTTCCCCACAACTTCGTCCCACATTTCTATTGGTGTACCTATTTTCCTTGTACCTTGAGCTTTAGACTCCCATCTCATCTTAACCTGTGTTCCGTTCATCATTTTTTGTTGGTCACCTTTAGTTCTTCCCAAATCATACCATTACATTTCTGTTCCTGTCTCTCTTCGTAATACCTTTCACTCTTCTTGAAACATTTCTGTCGCTCGAATTTCACTCTTTTCCTGTTATACCCATGATTCTTATCTTATACTTTGTTCGTTGCCGACAGCCTTTGTAGGCTATCTATGCAGTCTGACACCAAGTAGGGACCGACCTCGTTCAATAAACACTTTTTTTGTTTTGCAATTGCATTACCTCGTTGGTTCCAGCACTGGGACCAAACGCCCCATAAGTCGAAACTTGTGCGGGGTTAGGTGTGCATACAAACACAAACATCCATCGCCTAACTAGGATTCGAACCTATGTCTCGGTGGGAGTCCCCATACGAACTCAGCGCATTCACGCTCTCGACCACCGAGCCGCCACTTGAAAACAGAGTTTGAATTTCGTTTACAAATTGAAGTAAAATATACATTCAAAGATTCGTTATTTTATCTCAATTCGTTACGGGAACAATAAAGAAAAAACATCTTCGGAGGACAGAATTTTTGGCAAGGGAATCATGCATTATCATGTCATATAGATGACCTCTTAACTAGAGTGAGTAGATTGAATAGAGTGACGACAATAGACCTCCAAATGGCTGGCGTTTCCGGAATGCCATTTGTGGACAAGTCACTGAATAGCTAAACATCTGAAGGGTATCTCCCATGCATAATGATTTTGCACCTTCGAAGTGCCCACCTGATGTAAGGTGGGCATATCCCAAAAGATGTATTCTAATAGTAAAAATCAAATGTCTGATTGTTGGACGTTTTGTGTCCAAAGAGCAAAAAACAGAGACAAAGCATTGACAAAGTGAAATAGAATGCGTAGAACTGAATGGAGAAAACAAGACAGGTGGATGCACCTCCATATTAGAGGTCTGACCAATCAAAAAGTGTACCACTATTGTCGTCACTCTATTTATAAAGTCACTCTGCTCTTAACCACACTAGTGCTGCCACGCGGGAACAATACCGGACATCCCTGCCATTCAGCTACTCTTTCTGTCGGGACCAATTCGCACTCGTGTTAATTTTAATTTGTCGGTGAGCTTCTGGCCTAGTCACAGGTATGTGCTTGTCGCGACACACTGTTACCATCCCGAACGAATGATCTTCTTCTCTCCTTTCAGGACGACCTCGACTCGCTACGGCACTCCAGCTCCAGGGATCTCGCGCGCCTGGCCGCCGAACTGGCCAGGAGCCAGCAGGAGCAGCGCCACCTATCGGATCGTCTGGCCATCTTCAGACAGAGCGAGTCGGAGGTGGGCTTGGGAGATGCTAGGATAGTAGCCGAGAGGCGGTTGCTGGAACAGCGACTGGAGGAGGCGCATCTGCATCTGACGGACATCAAGACGTCGTGGAGCGACAAAATAGCCTCGTTGGAAACGCAGGTAATAATAATAATAATTTTTATTTTCTCTTAAATGTATAACATTTACTGTTTCATGTTATACGTAAAAAAAAGAAAAAAATATAACAAACAAACAATACGACAGCATCACAATTAAATACAATATATACATCACGTTACTAACATTACATAATTCAGCGTATAGCAGGCCTTTTGAATTAGCTGTTGTTTAAGCCTCTTTTTAAATGTATTCAAGTTTAGGGAGCTCTTAATTTGTTCATCAAGAGAGTTATATAGTTTACAGCCAGTATAATAAAAACTTTTCTGGTACAACGTAGTCCGGTGTCTCTCAGGTTGAAGGTGGCTTTTGAAGCGTGAATTATGATTGTTCTTCTCAACAGTATTCAAAAATATGATTTTATTTTTATAAACGTATAAACAAACTCCGCAACTTGTTCTCATATCAACACTAACAAGAATTCGAATTGCATACTTCTGATGAACCAGTACTCTCTCACATGAGCACAATTGCCCCAATTCATAATCCCGTACTTTATATGGGAATGGAAATTGACATAGTACAACGAGAGTAGTATGTGCCGACTGCAGTGGTTCTTTCTGAATTTCAGACTATAACAGTTACTCTGTAATTTTTTGCACAAATTATTAATATGATCGACCCAATGAAGCTGCCTGTCGAAAGTAACTCCCAATAGTTTTACTGACATGCTGCTTGTTATTTCATTATTAGAACCTTCAAATAGTTTGACTACATCAATCCTGCTAGAACCAAAAAGAACAGTTATTGTTTTTCCATGATTAAGTTGTAGATTATTATTTTTTGACCATTTCTCAATATTCGAATAAACCATTTCAGCAGTACTTTTCGGCTTATTTAGATCTTCATAAACAACCAAAATATTCGTATCATCTCCATAACACGTAACATGAACATTCTGTATCTTTCGAATATAAAGTATAAGAAGATCATTAGCGAAAATATTCAAAAGAAGAGGACCTAAAACAGAACCCTGTGGCACACCTTGCTCGATGTCCATTTCATCAGAAAAAGTGATGATGGGAATAGCCCGGGTGCGTCACTTCCCAGTGCTTTTGCGGCTAGAAGAAAGAGGAAGTTTCCTTCAGATGAATATTTATAAAATAAGTCGTTTTCATTTTCAGTAGTAATACTATAAGTACTTCAAAATTTTCGGGTTATAGATCATTAACTTGTTGCATAATTATTACTAAGAAAATTGTGAATTTCCCCATTCTTCAATTTTATAATTTGGCTTCTAGAAGATGACCGCAGGAAAGAATGTGAGTCCAGAGCACAATGTAAATGTTGCGATCATCAACTCACTGTCAATTTGAATACAGAATCTCAATTGCTCGTTAGATATTGTGGTATCATTTCGAAAGTGCAGTCAGTTATATCGTTAATAGCTGGATGAATTTGACGTCATCTGCAAAACCGAATTGTTTAGAGACTCTAGGCTCGGAGGACTGAATGCCTTCATTCATTCCCTTTCATCCCAGACCAGGACTTCTTGGGCACGACGAACTATATCAATAAAACAATGGAAAACTATATGTTTGAGCTTTTTATCGAGGTTTATATGGAATGATACAAATGAATGTTCAAAGTAGCTTCAATTTGAATGTCATTTATCAAACAAGAAATTGGTTTGTCACCACAGTCATATGTCACTTGAATGCATTTATTCCAGAGGAAGAATATGCCTCATAATGGCAATTTTATGAGCGTTTTTTGAAATTATGTACCTGTAATAGATAGTTAACTGGATAACAAGCTCTATTATTAAAAACCATGTTCTTGTAAGATCACAACAACTTGCATTGATAGGTATGTGAAATAGTGGAAGAAGTTGACTAAGACAAGAAAAGACACCTACAAATTCTGTGTTTTTAATTCACTTAGCTGTGAACTGATATTTATACTGTGATATCTAGCAGAGCAGTTATATGCTGCCCATTTCATCCGATAATCATTCATCATAACCAAGTCAAATGTCACTAATAACAGTAATGCCCCAATAAGGACAGTTCGCCGTAAAATAATCCATAGTGGTCTAATATGTTGACTTCAATGGTTTCTCCAGAAGTCCAGTCCATACTTTTGATAGGTGGTTCTAGTGCATACTCAATTTAATTTCATTCTCGATCTCTGTCCGACCATCTAGAACCACGTAACGTCATCACGAAGGGACAGTGATCAAGTGGCGCTGCTGCCGTAATAGGAGTGACGAATTCTTGTTTCTGGTTGTTTTGTGCTTGATGTAATTTCAGCAATGAAAAACTTGGGGAGTTTAAACTTTTGACATCCTAAATAGTGAAATAGTCAAGCCATCAACAAATCTATAAGTGACAGCGACTTATTGTGGAGGTCAACGTCTATGAGGTCGTACTTCCGATTTTAGGCCAGTAGAAGGCGTGACACGATTAATATCTGTAGCGAAAGCGGGACTCCCTGTGGCGTCGAATTATTTTCGGAGAGAATAGGAGGTGTCAATGAATCAATCAGTTATTGTGACAGAGGTTTTGGATAGTTATCATTAGTGATATTCTTTCAATATGAACTAACTGAAATATTTTACTAGAAAGAATTTGATTAGTTAGAACATCGTCGATCTAAATGGAAAAGATAGTAGCTAGTGAGCAGCTAGGTAGTAGTTAACTAGCTTTCCCATTTAGATCGACAATGCTCAGAATGCATGTCAACTGACTCAGATCAGTTCAAGTGAAATATGTCAGCTAGTTCAGAATGAAAGAATATCACTATTGAATCATTATATTCCCAATGAGGACTAATATTATTTATTGTCCACCATAACGCGCCTACGAATATTTTTCTCCGTCAATGTAAAAATGGGTCGTAAAGTTCCTCAATGAGAGTAAGAAAACGTAAGTCGACTCAAGTCTTTCCATAACTTATGCTTTCTATTTGTTATTTTACATCATTGTTTTCGAATATTTTCGATAAAACATGCCATAGTCTTTAGGGCAATCCGGCAATATTTTGGGATTTTTGACGACACTGACCTAGTGTTTTAGTAGCACCAACTGGTGAGACTGAAAATGTTCTCCCTGATTGTAATTCTAATTGTGTACCCCATCTATCATCCGACCTAATATATTTGTCTTTCGTATTATTTGTACATTTCCTGGTGTATTCAATGCCATCATAGTCATACGAATTTTTGAGAGAAGTTATCCGGAATATCTGGATAACTACCTATCTTCATGATTCCAAAATTTGGGATAATACTTGAGATAATTGTCAAAGATCGATTAATATATATTTCGGCGTCAAACAGTGAAATCCGTTATCCTCTGGAATGCCTAGTCATTTCACGTATTGCCGGCAAACAGCGTAACTCTAAATTTCGTACACCGTTTGCCTAATAGTTTCAGGCATTCCCTGTAATGAAGGAAGGAGGGTTCATTGAGGCCGAGTCAGATTAGGTTGTTTAGAAGCAGTCGTCTCTTCTGTTCTCTCAAGTAATTTTCTGAAAAATATACTTTCTAGGAAGAAGGTTCATTGGCATATGCATGAAGGAAAATGGAAGTTACGCTGTTACGTTGTTTGCCGACAAAACGTGAAATGACTAGGCATTTCGGGGAATGACGGATTGCACTACCCAATCAGCCAAAGTACGTCTTAAAGGCGTCTTTAAGACGTACATGCCCAAGAGACGTCTTTAAGACGTACATGCCCAAGAGACGTCTGTAAGACGTCTTTAAAACGTACATTTTCCACTAATATGTACGTCTTTAAGACGTCTTTTTCAGGTGTTTTTGGTCCATGACCTCAAATTGATCTTTCAAATTACGGAAAATCACATAGTTTCAGTTGATTTTCACCTGTGCACTGAAGTTAGCAACAAGTGCAGACAAGCAAAAAAAAAAGGAAACAAACGACTTCATCAAACGGTAGACACAAGCGGTCACCAATTCAAGTACTAACCGCGCTCTTTGTTGCTGGACTTCGATGATTATACCATATTCACTTCTTCTGTTACTCTGTTTGTTCTATATATCACATAACAAGCTTTTACTTAGTTTAACATATCCTTGTGTCTGTTTGTAATCAAAACGTGCAAGTTAAATTTGACTCACTTTAAATCGTCCGATTGATTTGAAATTTGGCAAGTAAATATTATTCCGGTGACAATTCGTTGTGATATTATTATTGAATGGAAAAAACAGAATGGTGGATCCAATATGGCGGACGATGTGGCATATGGTTTTCTGATTATGGTCTGATTCAAAATTGGCATCTGAAGGATTTCGGGATCAGAGATTATAATTCCTTTTGTCGAAAATGAAAAATCCAAGATGTCGGCTTCAAAATGGCGGACGAGTTTTGTGATTATAGTCCGATTTTATTCAAAATTGATTACTATGGGACTTTTGGGGTCGGAGAATATGATTTTTCTGTAAAAATTCGAGAATCTAATACGAAGGCTCCAAAATGTCGGACGAAAAAATTCAAAAACATCACTTTTGTTGAAAATAAGAAAAAACTGAACAATTGAAAATAAAAAACGTGAAGAGATGACATTTTGTTTTTCTTCAGAAAATAACTTACATTATTGTTCTATAAGTCGAATTGACGTACTGGAATGTACGTCTTTAAGACGTCTTTTATACGACATGGGAGGAACGACGTGGATACGACCTAAAATGTACGTCTTAAAGACGTAAATTCGTGTACGTCTTTAAGATGTACATGGATTTACATCTTAAAGACGTACTTTATACGTCCCTGGACGTAAAGACGTAAGTAAGTCGTAAAATGTACGTCTTTAAGATGTCTGGTGCTGATTGGGTAATTGCCGCCATATATATATATTGAACATAACATATCCATAACAATCAGTAATCAGTATGGAATCTAACCTAACCTCCTATCGGTTGCAAACAAACTGTTTCACAATTCATGAAGAATTTAGTATCAAATATAGTTGGAGGTCTTGGGCAGAGAGAGAAAATAGTTAAATCAGAATGTTCACCACAACCAATAATTATCAAAACGATGGAACAAATAAATGAGAATTCGGAGGACCACTGTTGTTCCTTACTAACCCAAAATGCTATAAGTGTTTCATTCTATCGAAAAAAAAATCGAAAGCTCGTCACCTAATATCGTCCACAATCCACAATCCTCCTGAATGATTGCTTTATACAAAATGCCATTGTACTATAGTTAGCTTAGTCGATCTAGGTTCACTGTTATTTACCAGATGATTTTTAAATTTTGAAGAACAGTTCTCCAGATATCAAATGAAAGTGTATTCCTCATTACTTCAAATTCGACATTTTTTTTTCAGGTTGGTAGACTGAGTAGGCAAGCAGCCGAAGAAGGTTCTGAAAGACGTAGAGCTGTAGAAGAAAAAGAAAAGCTCATAGAGGACATAAAACAACTAGAAGCCGAACTAGATTGTTGCAGACTCGAGCTAATCAATAAAGAAACGAAAATTAAACGCTTATCCCAAGATGTGAACGAACTGTCAGCTGAACTGAAAGTTTTGAAACATGACGGGGAAGAAGAAATATCATTCCTACGAGGCGAATTAGTGAGTCGAGATAATGTGTGATTGGGGGCTTCTCTCTCCTCTATATGATTTCCCGAATTTTCACTACTTGCTTTGTTTATTTTAGCACAGGGTTTTGCCATTATAAGGGCTTTACTTTTTTCGATGTGGAATGTACCTACCTTACGCCTATGGCCGAGATTTATGTTTTGCCCTTTTGTTAAGTATATTATGAGTTTTAGATTTTCAAGTTTATTTATGTTGATTTTATGTATACATGTATTTTATGTTGAGTAAAATAAAAGTTTATTGCAAGACTTTTTATTTATTTTCATCTTTGATAATTTTCATAGCTGGAAATTTATGTTCAGATGGAACTGAAGAGCTGATAATATTTAATCGTATACTTCTGATTTGAAGTTCCGAATATTACAGGGTGATTCTTTACAGCAGTACCATGAATTTCCCTATATAATCTACAGTGTGCATTTTGAAACATAGAGAGTTGACCTCTAATATTTGCGTACTCATCAAAAAGACGATTCAAGGTCGTTATCATATAGTGTGGAAACCTATGATGGAATAAAATCCGTATGTCTATAACAGAAATATAGAAATGTTACGCACTTTGGGTAATAAAAGGGTACTTTTAATCTCTCGTTTGAGGGACTGAAGTGGCACTTTTAATCTTTTAGAGATTGAATTTGATGGCATTTTTTCTCAAACGCCATATAGCAACGCTTTCATCATTTTTCGATTACAAACTGTCATTCATTATTCTCTTGATTATTTTATCTTCAGTTTTTCCACCCTGCCCTGAAGGCATAAAATAGTATATGTATAAACCACGGGACTAAAGTTCTTTTTTATCCCTCAGCAAAATTCTCGCATCATGATTAAAAGTGCAAGTTCATTCCCTTGGTGTTTCATCTACTGTTAAAAAGATCTCCGACAAGTCGATTTTAATTTTCGAAAACCTTTTCTTTTAATTTTTTTTAATCATCTGTCAAACTATCATGCACTACAGATATTTCTTTTATGGAATTTGAATTCCATTCCATCATAAGTTTCCCCTGTTCTATAAGTCTATAGAGTTTGTCGATCGATTTACATGAATATTTGTGAACAATATTGTTGAAATGAACATGATATAGCACTCGAATACTATACTGAATCACTCGATGTCGGCCGATGTATGACATTTTATGAAAATTATCTAATCAATTTATTTCTGTGAATCCCCCAACAAATATTCCAATGTTTCCTGCAATTGTTGTAATAACCTACTGTCAATAATTATTACTGTGTTAACATTTTTTTGTTTTTCATAATTGGGTTCATATATTAATGAAGTTTGATTTTGATTGAATATTAATTGAATTTCATTCTCAAGGACCATTCCAGAAACGAATTGCAAACCAGCAAGAAAAACATAGATAATGTTGAAAATGAACTTGGAAAATGTGAAGAAGAGAATAGTAAACTAAAAAGATCCATAGACTCTGAGCATATGACAAATAGTTCCTTAAGGATAATGATCTCAAAATTAGAGAAAGAATTAGGGGAAGAAAAATCGAATAGTTTGAATGTTCAAAAAACACTTACAAGGTGAGTCAAACATTGAGTTCGTCTTTAAAAACATTCGTATCTTTCAACGGCTTTCTCTAAATTTCGATTGAAATGCTTTGTGATGCGAGCGTCAAGTCTCTAGCAAATTGAAAGTGAGTGGAATAGATTATTTAATATAGAAAAATTGATCTTGTGCAAATCTTATTCATTGTATAGTACAGTATAATTCACCAACACAATCAATGTATGTACTCTCGAAATATTGGGTAAACTCTTGAAGATTTGAACACCCGTTAACGAAGCGGCGTTAGAGCATAAATACTGAATGACTTGAACAACTGTATCATCATTTTTATCTCATTACACATGATACACAAGGATTGCTTCCTCAATTTTCCATTTTTGTAGGGTAACGTCTGAGAAAAATACCGCATTATTGCGAAATGCAGAAATATCACAGCAGATGGAGTTGGTGAAGCAGGACATGAGACGGCAAGAAATGGAAATGAATGATGTATTGGCTAAACTATCTCATCTTGAAAAGGAGAACCATAAATTGAATCAGAGTGTCATGGTGGAGAAAAAGTTGAGGAGTAGCATCAGTGAACTGGAAGATCAGATTTCTGAAAAGAACAAGGTGAGAATTATATTGATCAATCGAATTTTCGTGGTTTTCATCATGGCAACTTGAAAATATTCCTCAAATCAACGATCACCTATGGAGCGCTACAATTATTATGTTATCCCTGCCACCATATTTAATTTTCATGTTACTTTCCACAATCTTTCATTCCGAAATTTCGGAAAAGCTAAATGTAAAAGTCCAATAGAGAAAAACTCATTAGGCGTTTTCGGAAACTTACTCGGGTTGTTCGGATCCCTAACCTGAACGTTCGGTTACCCAAACCGAGTTACCTACCTCTGTTCGGAAACTTGAATGATGCTAACTCGATCACTGACTCGGGTTGATTTTTCGTGACCCTACTCAAAAGCAGGGTCGCCAGAGTTGCAAAGGACACCGCATGCGCATTACGGAATTCAAGTCAATCAAAAAACGCGGGAGTTTACATTCGACGATAACAATAATAATAAAATAATTTGCATGTTGGGAAAAATCACGACCGGTGATATACATGTTCCTTTCAATCTTCATAATTTGATTAATGTAATTCATTGAGAAGAGAATTTGGGTCGGGGTGAAGTTTGTGGTTATGTGCAACAACACATATGAGACAAGTACACCAATCCACAGGTAAATATAAATACTTGTGATGAGATCAAATAATCACTTGAATATAATGTGACCATTTTCGTCTGTCAAATTCATGAAACCACAGGAAAAATATAATGTTCAGTGTTCCTAACCTGACACGTTCGTAAACGTTGAACACGAGTAGATGATCCGAGTTTTTTGTCACGTGACCTATCTGGATCGAGTTATCAACCCAGAGTAAGTTTCCGAAAACGCCTATTGTATATCATTCCTGCTTAATGAGGAATAACGTGACGTGCAGTCTTGCATGACATGACTCATACTTCTTTCGACTTTGGGATATCTTATAAGAGCTGATTTCATATCCCTATCTTAACTTTTTATGTACTATCAATTGATATTCAATTGAAATAGATACTGGGGGCTAAAAAATCTCAATTCTGAACCACCCTGTATTTATTCCAATTAAATAGCAATTGATAGTGAATAAAATGTTGGGATAGGGACATGAAAAACCGTTTTGACCAATTATGAATAGTTTCGACACAAAAAATTCCTAAAGTTGAAAAATCTCGATTTTTCACATCCTATAACTCTGTATTCATTACTGCTAGACCCCAAGTGTTATAGGTCAATAGAATCAGCTCTTCAGTCAGAATCTGAAAATGGAATGATATACAGGGTGTCCTATTTAAAAAATCAAAGTTGTTGCTACTTTTCAATATAAGCGGCAACGTCACAACACTGAGAATATTTTAGGTCAATAGAACACAACTAATTGATGTAGGGTAATCCATTCATTAATTTCATCAACAACAAAATATCGGTCTTTGAGTCAAGAACTCGCTCGTTATTGACAGCATAGCTCGCTCGAACAAACATATGTCTGTGGCAACACTATTTGCGAATATTCAAACGTGCCGCAATTCAAACTGATCTAAGTAAGTGGCAGAGCTTCAATATTTCCGAGAATATTTTCTCTTTCTCTTCTCTCTCTTTCCCTTTCTCTCCTAAAGATAATATCCGATGGACCAGTGTAAAACCCAACATGTGGATTTGAATACTTGTAGTGCTAGCACCACATGAGTTTTACACTGGTCAGATATTAACTTAACAATTTTGAATACAATGATAGTGTATACTTGGTATGTTTGTATTGATATCAACAAAAATATCAACATTTTGTGACTTGTTTCAAGTTACTTAATTATATCCTTATGACAATAAAAAATTGCCTCCGCTCATGTTATTTGTTTTAATATGTAATGTTAAACTGGGTAAAACTAATTGTGATGTGACTTGAGAGTCTCTCAAATGTATAATGTATATAGTTTTTAGTTTTAGCTTTAGTTAATTCCATTCTCTCTACCTCCTAAACTGATACATTTCATCAGACACAGTCTGTTTGTAATCAGTATAAATAAAATAAGCCGATACTTCTCATGTTATAATAATTTTGAACACTTGTTTTGATTTTTAGTTAATTTTTTGATTCACATAATACAGTTCTCAACACACTAAATGGACCACTCATAATTCGACTATATTTCGAAGACCTGTATTTTTTGAAAAAATTGATCGATATTCATGCAGTTTTCAATATCAGATGAGATGTTTCATCGTCTTCAAAGAGAGCTAGGACACTCTGGAAAAGTCCGCAGAACAAAACTTACACAGGGTGTAAAGTGGAACCATTACACTATGGTCTACATTTCCAATGCCGCCAGAACTCGAGAAATTTTTTTCTGATCAAAAGTCAGTCATATTATGATACACTGGAACCTCATCTTGGGACGTTTTCGTGATTTCTCCTTAATTGGCCATTGGAACAAAATTTCGATATTTTTTCCAAAGTCCTGCATTTCTTGAAATTTTTCTCTAGAACTCCACTCGAGCTGACTATTGAAAAGAACTGTTCCCATGTTTTGTGGAGGACAATGAAAGACGAGATAAGCACTATTGTAGAATATACAGGATGATAAGAAAATTGGACAAAATCTCATTTCAGTAAAAGATATCAAAAATGGTGACTAAAACCATGGCCCATTCGATTCAGTAAATTCAGAAACGGCCTTCTCTATATCCATTATTTATATTAGACTATTAACTCGGGACGTTTTCAAAATTTGATCAGAAAAAAATTTCTCGAGTTCTGGCAGCATTGGAAATGTAGACCATAGTGTAATGGTTCCACTTTACACCCTGTGTAAGTTTTGTTCTGCAGACTTTTCTAGATTGTTATAGCTCTTTTTGAAGCCGATGAAATATCACATCTGATATCGAAAACCGCATGAAGTTCGGTCAATTTTTTCAAGAAATACAGGTCTTCGAACTAGAGTCAAATTATGAGTGGTCCATTTAGTGTGTTGAGAACTGTAGTTATTTATGTATCAAGGGCGTAAAGTCGGCGTTTATGTCCTGCGGCGTGAATACACGCCGATGGCTATAAACGCATTTTACGCACGTGATACATACAAAATTTTATGCACTAGTGGTTTATTTCCCGAGTCACAAGTAATGACTAGATTTCAACAAACTACAATTCATATGTTACTCATAAATTCAGTTTTCAAGAGAAGCGCAATGTTTATGTGTATAATCTACATATTAAAATTACCGTACGAATATAGCAATTATCATAAGAGTAAAACTCTTTGTTCACTACAGAGATTCATTCCTTGTATATTCGTAAATTTGACGTAGTCAATAAATCTGATGGTTGCTGTCTAGCAATACATCCAAAAAACAAGCTGAAATTGTCATCTTTTGGCTAGAAACTTCAGACAACCAGAAAGCAACTATTCAAAGAAGGAAGTTATAACGAAGGTGAAATCGGATGAACAATAACATGTATCATAACATATCATAATCACAACGATAGAATCAGCTGAGAGTTCAGCCACAAATGGATGTGTGGATATAAGGGACTTGAGAACAGCGGGCGGTAAAGTGAACTTTACCGCTAGTGCATAAAAGATATTTTAGTTGAAATTCATAAATTAAATGTTGCTGTTTTCGTTGTTATAGTAATAAAAAAATACCAAGTATATGCTATCGTTTCGTATCACTCATAGAACGACAGGCAATTTTCAATGACAAGATACAGGGGATGCCATTAGAAAATAAAATGTAGGGAATACTTGCCAGAGAACTGTCATATGTAATAGATTTTTTTATATGTCATTAGGAAGGTACTTCAATGCCATTCAATGCAGTTTTCTGATTTTTATGTACAACCATATATGTAATGTTGTCATTACTAACGTCATTGAAGGTTGGGAAGTGTTACATTACACACCTCTACTTCCAGCCCTCACTTCCCGCCCCTCACTACTCTCCGCCCTCACTTCCCGCCCCTCACTACTCTCCGCCCTCAATTCCTGCCCTCACTCATGTAATAATTCAGGTATGTTCAGAACGAAACATAGATTTATTAATTTTGATCGAAATATGATGGTTGTAAATAAATTAGTATACAAACCTCGGTAGAAAGTTTCATTCCTGTCTCGAAATCATAGCTAACCTCGACGCTTTGCGTCTCGGTTAACTAACTCACGACAGGAATGAATCACTTCCCACCTGGGTGTGTTATGGGTGTTATTTAAGTACGTGGCCAAACTTGAAGGGGTGATTCTTTGAGTGATTCTAAGACGAAAAGTTCATATAAACATAGGTCTGGTAATGCTTCGTTTTCAAGATACAGGGTGTCAAAATTTTTAAAAGAAATCGTTTTTTTCGTAAATATCTTGATAACCCTTCAACTGATTTCATTGAAATTTGGCAGTCTTATTCAAGGTCGTAAAGGGCTAATTTAACCCTAACTATATCAAAATTATCATGTCCAGTGGCGCCCCGGAAGGTACTGTAACCAATATTTTTGACAGAAAAAATGTGCGCCACTGATTTTTTTGCAATTTTTGTATTTGTTTCACATTGAGCAACCAAAATTACAACTTTTTCATATCTAGAATTTTTTTCGTATCTTGCTTTGTTTTTGAGAAAAAAACATAAAAATCACTTCATTGCACATCCCTGTGACAACACAATAAAACATTTCAACTACCAAACCATCAAAAACTGGGGTCTTACTAATATTTTTGATATAGTTAGGGTTGAATTAGCCCTTTACGACCTTGAATAACACTGCCTTTCAATAAAATCGGTTGAAGGGTTATTAAGATATTTACGAAAAAAAACGATTTCTTTTAAAAATGTTGACACCCTGTATCTTGAAAACGAAGCATTACCGGACCTATGTTTATATGAACTTTTCGTCTTAGAATCACCCAAAGAATCAGCCCTTTAAGTTTGGCCACGTACTTAAATAACACCCTGTATACTATTTCAATTGTCGAATGAGCAAGATATTGCCTGTATTCGATAACTTGGGACACCCGGTATATCATGTCTTTATCAGATGACGGTCGGCTCTCCTACTATTAGGCTTCGTCGTCGTTATCTGGAATTCCCATTTGTGCAGAACATCAAAATGCTGCAGTTGAGGCTGGCCGACATGAAAAAAACCCTCCAACAGGAGCTGAGAACGCCTGGCAATCTGAACTACCACAGCGATCTCCTAGATAACAGTTCGCCAGCCGTTCTCACTCCCACACAAGTCTCGACCAGAAATCAGGTGTATCCGAGTGTAGTGAAAAGAGCCAATGATGACGTCAATTTCGAGTACCTGAAACACGTCATCCTGAAGTTTTTGACCAGCAGGGAATACGAGGCCCAGCATTTGATCAAGGCGATTTCAACTCTGTTGAAGTTCACAACGGAGGAGGAGAAACTCATACAGGACACGTTAGAATGGAGGAGGTCTTGGTTCGGGAGTAAACCGAAGTATTCTGTTTCAAAATCCAGAAATAGTTATAGTTGATGGTTGTTCTCCACAGACTTTTCATATTTCTATCAGCTATTTTAAAGGATGGTGAAGATACTGTGTTCCACGTGATTCCAGAATGGAGAATTTATGAGTAATTCAAGATTTTACCAAAGAATAGAAAATGGCGACGAAAAACAAACGGGAAAAGAGGTTTTACCCAATAAATGAATAAATGGTTCACTTTGGTTCCATGGTTTTTGGAGTGTTTCTTAAATTGGGGTTCACCGCTAAGCAGCTCTGAAGTTTATTTGTATTGAATTTTATTGATCTAAGGAATATGTGACAGGTTTTTGAGAATGTTCTTCACGGGGATCCTGTAGACAGAAAAAAACCTACTTTGATTTATGCTTTGATACCATACTTCATCAGGTTTGATTGAAATTTCTCTTGAAAATCACCGTGGGAGAGCGCCTGACTCGTTCGCTTTTCAGCAAATACAAGTATTTTTTCGGATATTTGACTCAATAATTGAATATTGCAAAATTTTGGAGCATCTGCTGGGTATAGTCCTATACGAATCAATGTTGATCTTTGGCCAGAGTTAGTATAAAAAAAGCGAAAACAAGAAACTTCTGTAGCGAGTCACTCTTTGCTATGTATCTCCCTGTATATATTTTGTATACGAGGAATGATACTATTGCATAATTATCATTATCATCAATGGTCATAATTTATTTATACTGCCGAATTTAATTCTGACTGGCAACATCTTGGAATGGAGGATAAACAAATTTGTCATAATATACCTTGTATAAGTAAACTCGGAAAATATTATTGGACATAGCCCTCAGGAAGAGTTAACCGCTGACACGTGTTTCGGGCTTTAGGCCTTCATCAGTAAGGTGAAAAAAGTGCAAAAGATAAGCAACACTTGGTGGAAGACGAAACAACAAATCGACGGAGTCAATAAACAGAAGGACCCTGCATTTTCAGGGCTACAACAACGTCACCACGTGGAGGCAGCTATAGCTACTTGCGTGACATCCGAGTCCAGGAGTAGAATTAAGATGGAAGAAAGCTATACAGTGTGTCCCACTTACCATGCTCACCATGGGTATCTTTTTAACGGTGAAAGATACGAGGTCGGTTAAATGACACCAAATGTGGAGTTTGTCAAGGCCAACTATAATGTGAAAAAATATTTTGATAAAATCTATTCGTTTTTGTTTTATACGCAAAAAACAGATTTTGATCATTTTCATGTCTCCTCCGTAACTTCTTTATCAATGAAAATATTCAAATAGGAATTTCACATTCTCATGGCAGTTTTTCAAAGTGATTTCGAAAAAAATATGAAATTTATACCAACTCTTCTAGAATTTGAGATATCAGCACCAACTTTAGTTTTTCAAATGTAGGTCATAGCTCACTATGACTTAGTTATAAATAGGTAACTTTTTTTTTCTCTTACAGACGATATGTCGCAGTGATAGTTTCGTGTTGATAACAACGGAGTTATCGTCATTTATACAAAAACAAAAAATCATTCGGAAGCCGCCATCTTGAATTTATGAATTTCAACGAAAATATTATGATCTCCGACCTCAAAAACCCCTACTTACCAATTTTGAATGGAATCGGACCAAATCTTGTCCGCCATCTTGGAACAGCCATTTTTTTTATTTCAACAAAAATTCCATAATGTATTGTCACCGAAATTATGAACACCTGCCAAATTTCAAGTTAATCGGAGTTATGGAATTTTTTTTGAAAATAAAAAAAATGGCTGCTCCAAGATGGCGGACATGATTTGGTCCGATTCCATTCAAAATTGGTAAGTGGGGGTTTTTGAGGTCGGAGATCATGAATTTCCTGTTGAAATTCATAAATTCAAGATGACGGCTTCTGAATAATTTTTTGTTTTTGTATAAATGACGATAACTCCGTTGTTATCAACACAAAACTATTACTGCGACACATCATCTGTAAGAGAAAAAAAAGTTATTTGTAACTAAGTCATAGTGAGCTATGACCTACATTTGAAAAACTAAAGTTGGTGCTGATATCTCAAATTCTAGAAGAGTTGGTATAAATTTCATATTTTTTTCGAAATCACTTTGAAAAACTGCCATGAGAATGTGAAATTCCTATTCGAATATTTTTATAAATAAAGAAATAACGGAGGAGACATGAAAATGATCAAAATCTGTTTTTTGCGTATAAAACAAAAACGAATAGATTTTATCAAAATATTTTTTCACATTATAGTTGGCCTTGACAAACTCCACATTTGGTGTCATTTAACCGACCTCGTATCTCTCACCGTTAAAAAGATACCCATGGTGAGCATGGTAAGTGGGACACACTGTATAGCTGCCTCCGTGGTGACGTAAGTTGTTGCCCTCAAAATGCAGGGTCATCTGACCGAAACCACAATTATTGAAGGGGCAAGTGGAAGAAGGGGTCAAGTAACATTTTCCGAAAATATTCGGTTGTCATAGAAGAAGGTGTTATGTGCATATGTAACTTGCCTTGTCAGGATTTGTTTCTATTCTTCATACCTGAGCAGATACACAGTGGTAGAAGGGGCTATGTTACATTATACATCAATTACGCAATGGAAGAAGGAGATATGTGCCCATTGCCTACATGTCAGGAAATGGAAGAAGGAGTTATTTATGCATAAATCCAGACGTCTATAAGAAGTGATATGATAGCAAAATGCTGTAAATCATAAAAAATCAACCTGAAAATATTCCTCACAATTGCATAAATAAAATTATTGAACGCTCCCATTAAAAAATGCCAGCTACCTTTACTAAAACATATTTTTCCCAAGAACTCATATTTGTAACTCCTTCTTCCACTTACCTCTTTAATCGTGCTGCTGGCTTTTGTTTGTTGACTCCGTTGATTGGTCGTTTCGTCTTCTCTTTTGCACTTTTTTCACCGTACTGATGAGGGCCGAAAGCCCGAAATACATGTCTGCGGTTAACTCTTCCTGAGGGATATGTCCAATAATATTTTCCGAGTTTGCTTAAAACAGTTCCCTCAATATTCCCTCTAACTTAATACCGATTATACCTAATTATCTAATAAAAAAAGCTTAGATACATATAAATCCTTTCATAATTTAAATTGATTCAAATTTGTATCCTTCAACTTGCATAATGTTATAAAAGTACAGTGTGTTCCTCTTTGAACAGGGTGCGAAAGTTTGGAGTTTCAATTGATTTTGTTATGTTCATCCCAACTGATAAATCCTCGAAATTTCGAAATTATAATAATCATGGTTTTCTAGAAATCTGAATGTGTCTTCGCGGGTGTACCTATGTTAATATTTGAAAATTGATTTATTCTTGTTTATTTTGTCAACAATTATATATACTCGCCGATTTTGATTAACAAATTACAAAACATTTAATAATATGTATATCCCACTACGGCATTCCTGAAATTCGCATAAAATGAATGACATTACTTATTATTCCAGTTAATTAGGACATATTCGTTGATAGAAACACTGTAGATTCAACAAAAATATACTTTTTTGTGCCCCATTCAATTTGTTAGTTCAGCTAAATTTCGTAATATTTTGTATGATCTAAAATAGATTGTTTCTTCTTGAGTTTCTTCCACGAAATAAACTCCATACCTAGCTATATATTTATTCAAACTATGTTCTATACTTTGGCAAGCAATTTGGCCAAATTCTAAAAAGCAGAGTTGGTAGTAAGAGTATTTCATAGTAACTGTATTTCCTTCTGATTTATGTTCATTGCTTGTGATGTAGGTAGGTAAGTTATTAGTGTACTGTAAATAATGTAAATATTGCCATTCCATGCCCTGTTTATAAATTTTTAAAAGAATTAATATAAAATATATTTATTTGAGAAATCCCTTCCACATCTTTCATTTCAGTCAAACAAAATAAGTCCGAGTTTGTCTTGATTCATAATGTTTCAGGAGGAGAATTATAGATCTTCCAGAAAAACTAATAATGAATTCGACTTCTTCAGGTCAAAAAAATGTCCTACACATATTGTTGGAAGGGTGTTGGGATGCAAATGAAACTAAATGATGTGGAGTGCAATTTTTATATGGGTACGTTACTTACGACGCAAGAGAATTCACAAAATATTGACACAAATTCTAAAATATAAAAACTATCATTTGTGCTGATTTAACAATTTCACGGACTTTTCTGCTTTCTGTCCAATAATCCAATTTTGATAAAAATTTAAAATATTTCTAATCCACAAATTCTTACAATTACCATTAACTATAAGATATTGTAGGTCCAGTCTTCAAGAGTTGCGAATCTAATTTCACCTAAACTAACCATTAAAGGTATAAGGTATTAGCTAAAATTAGTATTTATCACAGAAAATATATACTTACTCGAAAGTTCAAAATGTATCTAAATATCAAAAACTAGTAACAATAATTTATTTGTCGATAAAAAAGTATTCGATTGTTTTACGATATGTCATTTTCGTATGATATCGTATCTAGTATCGAAAAACTTGTGATGCGGGTCAGTTTCGTGGTAAGTACCTATGACCTATATCTACATATTATGAAATGCTTACGATTATGAAAATGACTACAAAGCAGTTCGTTCATCATATACTATTACAGCTTCATTGTCAACTAATGAATCGGTGTCTTTGTGCAAAAACTGGCTTCTGGATTTGCTCAAAGCTATTATGGCCGCCTCATCATTGCGCATGCGATTTTTCCTCTTCTTGCTGAAATTCACCTGAAATATGAAAAATGATATACCCATCAGGCAGAATAGGTAGGAAGTCAATTCATAATCAGTAAGTATACAGTGGCGTATACAGAATTATATTTCAGAGGAAGAAATGCGCCTCAGACGAAAGGACTCCGCCCAAATCAATTTTGGGGGAATGTAGTTCAAAGTGTGCAGAACAAAAGTATCCTTGAGGTCAAACGATTTTCATGAGTAGTTTTCGTGCTACGCTCTCGTGAATCCTCTGATGCTACGTATAGAAAAAAACTTGACTAAAGGATCTAAAAAGGAGGTACAG